ACGTGGCGAACAAGCTGAGCACTTTTTTAAAAGAAAGAAAGCTGAAAGAAGCCGACCGATGACATCTGCAATTACTGGGAACGCGACTCCCGATCCGAGGTTTCAAAAGGAGTATTCTTTCGAAGATGATGAAACTCCAACCATCTTGAAATACCTCCTCGCCAATGACAAGATCGAGCTACCACCTATTAAAGATCAGGAGGGAGCTAAGAGGATTACGGATCCAAACTACTGTGCGTATCACAGAAGGGTTCTTCATCCCACTGAGATTTGCTTTGGACTCAAAAATAAAATCCAAGCCTTAATTGATTCCGGCGTCATAACAGCGAAACAAGCCAAGTAAAGACGACTCCAACTCCATTGGGTACACGAGTATAAACTGTTTCCCCTCACTCCGAAGAGTATACGAGTATAAACTGCTTCTCAACACTCCGATGAGTATATGGGTATAAACTGCATCTCCTTGAACCTCCCAACGGGTATATGAGGTTAAACTATTTCCCGAATACTCCAATAGGTATATGAGTCTAAAGTGTTTCCCACTCTTGACGGGTAGTTCCTAGAGAATTTTTACATGTAATATTCTTAAGGATAACCCAGTCATATAACTCAGTATGATGATAGACCCAGTTTCACAAAGGAAGCTGGGGGTGGATGGTTCATGTAACGGGAAGTTCTCGAAAGAATACTATATGTAATTTTCTTAGGGATAACCCGATCATTACAAACAAAGTGATAAACACTACATCCCCACGGTGATTTCCGAATACTCAAATAATATGTTTTTGATTATCATAAAGTTCTTTTACAGTTTTGTTGAGATGAGATTCAAATCTGTAAACAGTTAATCTTTCCTCACAAAACCCCTCACCGATCAAATCGATCGACAAAGGGTACACCAAAATCCGTCATGAATTAAAGTTATTTAAATTCCCACAACCCATTTGGTCAAACCTTTGAACAGTTAGGACCAAAGCCAAAATCCCCTCTCGATTCCTTCCATGAACGAGAGGTCCACAAATTGAACAATCAAACCTTTAAACAGTTAGGATCGTCTCACTGCCTATTTGGTCAAACCTTTAAACAGTTAGGACCAAAGCCAAAATCACCTCTCGATTCCTTCAATGAACGAGAGGTTCATAAATCGAGCGATCAAACCTTCCCACAGTTAGGATCACCTCGAAACTCCCACCTGGTCAAACCTTACTATAGTTAGGACCACAGTCAAAATCTCCTTTCGATTCATTTTGCGAACGAAAGGTCCACTTTTGAATTGAATAATCAAACCTTACGACAGTTAGGATTATTCAAACCAGTACAGATTCTTTAAGTGAAGATCCCACTTTGAGTTTCTTTTACACCAGGAGATAGAATATAAAATTCTTCCTCTCCGATTTTAGGTTTATCTCTACCAACAAACAAGAGACCAGGAGATAGAATATAAAATTCTTCCTCTCCAATTTTGGGTTTATCTCTACCAACAAACAAGAGAACAGGAGATAGAATATAAAATTCTTCCTCTCTAATTTTGGGTTTATCTCTACCAACAAACAAGAGACCAGGAGATAGAATATAAAATTATTCCTCTCCGATTTCGGATTCATCTCTACCAACAAAAAAAGACCATATCACTTCAATGGGTGCACAAGTCTAAACTGTTTCTCTACCCTCAATAGGAAGTTTCTGGAGAATATTACTCAAAATATTCTTAAGAATAACCTGATTACCTCCCAACGGGTATATGAGGTTAAACTATTTCCCGAACACTCCGATGAGTATATGAGTATAAACTGCATCTCCTTGAACCTCCCAACGGGTATATGAGGTTAAACTATTTCCCGAACACTCCAATAGAGTATATGAGTATAAACTATTTCTCTATTCTTCGACGGCAGTTCAAATTCAAGACTTCGACAAAGGCCACGCGATAAACGCAGCACCGGAGAAATTTTAGCTATTCTACAAAGCACTGAATAGGCTAAAAGATGAAGAAGTCAAAGATTGAAGCCATTCACAGACCATTCTACGTAATTTCCTCAACAAAGCACTGGAGAAATTGCAAGGAAAGCTTATCATATCCAAAGTGTCCCAGACTCCTCTCTAAAGAAACGATGAGTCTGAGATACTTTGGAGGGGGTATCTGTAGGCGTCAAAAAATGCTTACAGACATCCAAATACTACTCAAGACAAAGAAAATGTGATAAACGTCATTCTCTTAATCAGGGGGAATCATTCAAAGGAAGTAAGACAACATGTACACACCAATAAACAGCGCTTGGTGTCGCGGCTCAGGCGCGGCAGCTCATGGTGCCGCGGCCATGGCGCAGCAACATATTGTGCCGCGGCCATGGCGCGGCAGCATATGGTGTCACGGCTAAAGCGCGGCAGCATATCATGCCGCGGCTAAGGCGCAGCAACATATTGTGCCGCGGCCATGGCGCGGCAGCATATGGTGTCACGGCTAAGGCGCGGCAGCATATCGTGCCGCGGCTAAGGCGCGGCAGCATAATGTGCAGCGACTATTATAGGACGTGCTATGGTGGTTACAAGGCAGTTATATGATGATTATTTAAAGTCCACGTGGCGGCGTATCAAAAAGGGAACGTGTGCTGACGTGTACAAGCAGTTAAACCACGAAAAAGGTGGTTAAAGGTCGTGGGAGAACGGTTTCAAGCATGATGGAACGTGCTGGTAACCGTCTCTTTGGCCGCGGCAGCCCACCCTGCCGCGCCAATAGCCGCGGCAGTGTTGGCTGTCGCGGCCAAAGAGCAGTTATTTGGTCAGTTGTTTCGCCTTCATTTCAACTGTTGTGCACTCATACCCCTATAAATACCTCCCTAGACACGAAATAAAGGGGAAAGGGGTAGATTAGAGCAGAAAAGGCTTGAGCTTTTGGTGATTTGGAGCAAGAGAGAGAGGCTTCCTTCTTCACAAACATCCTCAAGAAGCTTTTAGCGATTCCTAGAGATCTAAGCTCTGACTTGATCTTTGGAAGAGTGAACATCTTACATCGATAAGATATTCGCTTTAAATTCTTACTTCGATAAACGAATGAAGAATTCCCAAAACCTTCACGATTCAATCAGAATCTGTGAATCGGTGGTCCACGGGCTAACGCACACCCGGCACAGACAAAGATCCTACGCAAGCAGTGATCCAAACAACGATCCTGCGTTTGTTTCTAAAAAATTATAATTTTCTTTTTGTTGTGTAAGAGAAGTCTTATAAAAAGACTATTTCTTTTGAATTTGTTGTAATCGACCGAAGATATAATGAATTCCACAATGAAACCAACTTTCGACGAAAACAGCAAACAACGAGGCTTTAGCAGAAAACTTGAAACAATCTGAAGAGGTCTATGACTTAGTTGTAACTAAAAAAAAAGAACATGTCCCTACCGAAATTCCTCCTAAGGTGCAAACAATCGTTATGCATGAGATTCATTATGGTGATATGATAGTGAAGATGGATGATATGCATGATATCCTCAAAGGGGTTGAGAGCGATATTACACATATTGATGTTGTCCCGATGGAGGAGAATGATAAATTAGAGAGTGAGACAATTGATGATATGTGTGAATTACTTGGTGTAGGGCTAGAGATAAAGGAGATGAAAGAATTATATATGGAGTATGGCGCGGGATTTTCTTCCCTAGAAGCAAAGTTGGTGAATAATTTTAAAAAGAATTTGATGATACTTCAAGCACTAGAATACGAGAAGCAACATGTAACATATTTTGAGGAGTTTTTGAAGTCAACTGCACATCCACATGCCGCCAATAAAATACACATGATGTCGGAAAGAATAATATATAAATTTGATTCAGAAGAAGTTTTAGCCGAGAACGTAAAACAACAGATGGAGAAAATCAATACTAAGTACAAGACAGACGCTGATTATTGCAAGAGAAGAAAATTATTTATCAATGAAGTTACTATTCTAACAAATATAAGCTCGGGGTTGAGCTTCTTTCAACAAGGAGAGATTGATGTAGGACGCTTAATCTGAGTTGGAGTCTATTTAGATTAGGAAATATAAATTAGAAAATAAATTTAATTTTAGAGTCAAATTAGATTAGGAAACAAGATCAATTTTGATTCATGATTTGTTTCCTCTATTATAAGGAGTCTTATTTAGAATAGAATTTGACACTTTTTTTTTGTAATTCTAGTCTTACTAGGAAGCTTATTTGATACTTTCTATTTTTGTAATTCTAGTCTTACTAGGTGTCTTATTTGTTTTTCTATTTAAGAAGAGTCATGTAACCCCAAAGGAAAAATAACTTTTCATTAATAAAATTTTTCTTTTCAATATTTTCTTCGTGGATTCGAAGTTCTTCGTGGATTCGAAGAACATTCTTTGTGGATTCAGAGAACACCCTTGGTGGATTCCGAGGTTATCACTTCTGCGCTGCGTCAAAAAGTTCATGAATTATAGCTTTGTAGTTAATATTGAATTTAGTTAGTTTAGAAATGTTTAACTACGGTGCAACATAACTTTATCGTTTGTTAGATACAAAACAGAGTTAAAGGATGAGAAGGAAAGAATGTGCTCGTGAAAGGGAAGAGAAGGGAGCACTTCTCTTATCTCTTGAGATTTATGGAATAAGAAGATCTTGTAAAATATGCAGCTAAACCTAACATTTTCTTGTTGGACAACTGCAATTTACTTGGCTATAAATCTTAGCCAAACGTGCCTTAGTTTTATGTTATGCCTAATCATAGAAAATTGACAGTTTCGAAAATTCAACTCCAAAAAACAAGCAAGGCCTAATACATTATCTTGTGGTTTTTCTGATTGTTATGATGGCAAGGAATTCTATGATTATAGTGTATTTCAGGTAGCGTTTTCTTTTTTGGGGACTACCTTTGTGAGATCTTTCTGATGTCATTCATATACATTTTAAGAAATAATTGAAAAAAAATGCTAGTTGCTTTTATTCAAACCTGTAATATGTTGGTCTCTTTTCATCGTATATGATATTTGCTTGATGCCAGGGCGGAAAGAGCACACTGGAGAACTGCCAGGTTTTGCAGGTACATGTTCTGTATTCTGCAATCCTTCCCTTTATTTGTGTTCAGATTATTAATAATATTTATATCTAGAAATTCAGAATATGAAATTTTGGTGATTTTGGCGACAATTTCAGCTTAACACCTTGTAAATATAACTTGGCTCATCACACCGCTAAGATACCACTATTTACCCAAGTCTTTAAGGATGTATGCAAACTTTGATAATCAATCCACCCTTAACCTAAAGCTTGGTGTTCTTTTCTGATGTTGCTACAGTCAATCAGATTTTGTGTGCTCAATATTAACATATGTATGATTCATCATGTAGATTCCATGTTATAATAGACTAATATGTACCCCGTGCAAAACACGTCAGCTTATTTTTTCTATCATTGTATTTTAAATTTTTGTCTCTCTAAGTTTTAATACATTTAATTTGATTATTGTATACTTAAAATAAAAAATTATAAATCTTATAAAAATATATGTTACCAAAAATATTGTCATCTGATGCTTGTACATTCTTGCTCTAAAGAATATAAGGTCAACTCTAAATTTCCTAGTTTAAGAATATAAATTTTAATATATTACTTAATTAGCTGAATATCTCTTTCCAAAGTTTTGTTAATGGCAAAATTTTGCAGCCAATTACTATTCAAAATATCAATTTATTTTGTATCTCGAGGGAGAGTTGTTTTGAAAAAGTAAATTAGCTTAAATTGGTCTTGATATTATCTAATTCTTCATCTTCTATTTTTCTTGTTGTTCTACAAAAAAAAGTAAATCTTTATATTTACAAATTCTCTTTTAAATTGAAATTCCTATGCAATTTATTAATAGTTATTTGTGAACTTGTCCCTTTCTTTCATTGTTATTATCCACATTTTTCAATATAACACTATTTAGAAGGTTAAAATGAGTATGTGAATTAAATGAGTAGTATGTGAATAAAAATATTGATGGCTACTGGTGTAGTGACATGAATACATTACATACAGGTCTCTTCAGATGAGGATAAAATGAGTAGTATGTGAAGTACATGTTCTGGTATCCCTTTCTTCATTGTTATTATCCACATTTTTCAATATTACACTGTTTAGAAGGTTAAAATGAGTATGTGAATAAAATGAGTAGTATGTGAATAAAAATATTGATGGCTACTGGTGTAGTGACATGAATACATTACATACATGGCTCTTCAGATGAGGATAAAATGAGTAGTATGTGAAGTACATGTTCTGGTATGAGTTCTTTTTGTTTGACCTTAATGACAGATGGCTTTCTTTGGTACTCAATTCTGATATGGGTTCTTTTTGTTTATGTTTATTAGATGGGAAATGATGATGATAACAAATTGAGAATGCATCCTATATTAATTATGTAATGTTTAGACGAGGTAATTTTGTGTGGAATGCAACCTACATTGATATTACAATGTTTGGCTGAGGTAATCCCTCAGAAGAGCAGCCTACATTGCATCATAGTTTTATAGGAGATGCAATCTTTTATGACCAAGTTATTTATATCCTGAGCCCTAGTAAGTATTCATGGATTTCGGTGCTGATTTCGAACTTGTTTAGCCCTAGTAAGTCTTTTCCGATGTTGCTACAGTCAATCAGATTTTGTGTGCACAATATTAACATATGTATGATTCATCATGTAGATTCCATGTTATAATAGATACAAACTTAAAACAATTTTTTAAGGAGTTTATCCGTTTTGATGTTACTTATTGGGAGGACCAGAGAAGAGAGGAATAGATTTATCATTTAAATTGAACAATGACTGACGGGATTTAATGCGAAATTTTGAGAAGTTAATAATTAAACTTCAAAATCTAATATATAAACTGAAACAATGAGACGCTTATATAAGTTCCTTTGTCTAGTAGTGTTTTTTTATTGCTAATGTTAAAAGCATAAATCTTAAAAAGAGATGCCATGTAGATATATGCATGCTTTAGCAGTGTTGATGTTGGAGCGATTTAATGTTACAGTTAAAGATAATTTTACTGTATAGCTTAAAAGTCTAATTAAATTCAGTGCATTTTCTTCCACTTGTTACATAATTAAACATACTACAACCTGAATCTTAATTTCTGCAGGCAACTGTTAACCGAGCCAAGGGGAATAAAACAGAGATATCCAGATCAGACCTTATACAAAAGAGTTCTTACTGTAAAGTGTCAGGTATTTTGATTTACTAAATGCACTTCATCCATGGCTAATTTCTTGCTGCTATAATTTTAAGCTTCTATTAACTTGCAGGAAGAGACATGGATCTTCTAGAAATCTCTGCATACGGAAATGTGCGTCGTGGTCAGGATTCTGGGGGTTGTAATATACAGTAACAACACAGAAGTGCGTGGTATTTCATGTCAAAGGGGAATTATCATGTCCCTGTAATTGAATTCTATTAGCTTTGTTGTTGAATATTCCATACATGCAGTTTAATGATTTTGTTCATAACCGAATTTTTCTTAGAACCCTGGCGAACTTGTGCTCTCTTAGGATCTCTATTCTGGCATGAATAACTGAAAATAACTATTGGAGATATTGATAGTTACAAGTAGTATTTATATAAATTGTTAAAAGATATTGATGGTTACGAGTAGTTACAAGTAGTAGTATGTACATATTATTTTTAGTAGATAATCAACTTGATGACATCTGGTTCATTGGTAAAGCAGAGGGTAGAAATTGTAAGGTCCCTAGTTTAAGATATGACTACAAATTTTTGTAAATATGAAGGGGGGAACACAAGAATCAATTATTATGCAAGTTGTTGATGGTTGGATTATCATTTCCCTTTGTTTGACAAGACAGGTCTCTAGTTTAGCAAACAAGACTCTTTACCTTTGTTTATGCATCTCTTTGGATGGTTCAGCTCCCCTCTAGCATTCATTGGGGAAAGTTAGCCTTCAGCTCTAGTGCACTCATTTTCCTTTTAACGAAGTGGAGCTTCTTTTTGAAATATAATGCCTTCCCTCTTCTTCTGAGAAGCTCTCAATGTTGTTGTAGCTGACTTTCTTGCTGAAGAACCCCTCATTGCTTGACACCTGTTATGCACTGTACCAAACCATTGGCTTTGCTATGATGGGAAAATTGACTTGATTCCAGAGAGGGTTAGTCAGCTTTGGTAAATAAATCAGGAATATGTTCAGGCTTACAAGTGTTCTTGATGTGGAACTACACACAATTATAAAGTAAATAGCACTTTGATAAGAGTCCGAGGGTACTTGGTGCGCACCCATAAGATTTATGTTGTTTGTAGTGCCTAATCTATATGTTGTTTGTAGTGCCTAATCTATATGGCAAATACATATCACTGGACCTAGAATTGGACGCCTACAGAATTGCACCCCAATTTGCGAGAGTCCCGGGCGCTTTAATTCTTCGTTGATTATTAGTGAAACCATGAAAACCGTGACCTGGTTGTGCTCCGAGGATGTAAATAATCACATTGATTGTCATGCCTCGTTAAAATATGTGTCCCTGTGACTGTTTCTTTGCCTTTCATGCTTTCTGTGGTCACTTTGTGCTTAGGTTTGCCGTTGTGCTGCTAGAAGTTTGTTGAACAGGAACTTGGGCAGCCAACTTCTTCCACACAGGCCTGCACAGCACAAACAGAGAATGCAACTGCCGAGGGCTGTATCCTGACAAACATCATCCCTGGCTCTGATGATGCTTAAGTCATTCTCTCTTAACATTGTATGTGTCTATATTATCTGTTTTTGTTCTCGAGGGAGAAATAAGCAGATTATGTATCATCTCGATAACAGTGCAATAAAGAGGGGGAACAGGTTAATCGTTGAGTCAAGAAAAGGAAACTTTAATGCTCCGATTTGTACCAAACTAGAGCTAGACTAATCGTGCATTTTCTTAAATGACAAGAAATTTCGTTGTCACCAAAATTTTCTTTTGTTGATTTCTGAAGTTTTCAAATGATATGAACTGATTGCTGCAGAATTATAAGTCACATGTATTTTCACATGCTTAACTTCAAGTTCCAGCTACCTGCAAGTAGATAGTAAATCAAAGAAATGAAATCTTAAGGACTGAACAGGAACTGACTAGTGTTTTTACCAGCAAAGTGTGCCTCTGATAAATTACTCTGTACACAGCATTTGCCATGCGAAACTGTGAGGCTTGAGATCTTGCATCATCCCCATAATGCTAAATTATCATCATAATCTAATAGTAAAACTGCATATAGAATGCACGATTGAGTGGGGTAAATTTTGTCTGCCATCAGCCTTAATTATCATCATAATCTAATAGTAAAACTGCATATAGAATGCACGATTGAGTGGGGTAAATTTTGTCTGCCATACATCACATTTAGGAAGTCAGTGGAGAGACCACAAGAGCCTTTTAACCAACAAATTCCTTACTCTTTTGACTCTAAACCCTTGCATGAGTCCCAAGTAGTGATTTGTGGCGATCAACATCATCTTTCTAGTATCATGCTCCACTTGAAATATCAAATTATCTTCTCCACTTCCACTAATTAAGCATAGCCCTCATATCTTAATTTCTACAATCTCAATAGCAGGACACCTAATCAACAGCTCACCATCCTAAAGATCTCGTTTGGTTTGATAAACTCTTTAGGATGCCTTCAACTTACCATTTAGCCCTTGCATAAGCTTCGATCTATTGGTTCTTGAGAAGGGTATTATCGGCATATTGAAATACCTTTGTCCTAAGCCTCATTATGAAAGTAGACAAGTGTGTGTTAGGTAGATGTCCATTTACGCAATGACATGTTTTTTTTCGGACCTTTATTGACTCTATTCAGTTTATGAGAGATGTGCCAAGATTTTTATGCAAGTCCAACACAGGGAGGAGATTATATAAAAGGAGACCTCCATTGTTTAAATGAGGATACATGCATATTGAGCTTGGTAAACATGGGAAGGTTCTCACTCTATCAGCTAGTGATTCTATTTGCCTTCTTTCACCTAATTATTTCCTCCAACGGTATATTTAGTCCTTCATCAAGTAATTGTGTTGTTAATCCACTTTTATTGGTTTATTGACCATTTTTGTTACTTTTGTGCTCTAGGGTATCAAAGAATGTTTCAAGGTACTCTAGACCTTCAAGCTTTCAATCCTCAGGTACTTCAGTTGCATTTTCTTAATATTTGATCTCGACATAGTTGCATTTTCTTGGTGGTATCATTTTCTGTTTTCTAAGCAAATGCCAAGAAGTGATTTATGGTGAAATATAGAAGAACCCTATTGATATACTACCGCTAACCATTTCTTTTGTAATTATTTGTTGCATTGTTGTTGATGAACACAGCGCAATTTCGAAGAGGGAACAATGGAAGGGATGTTCAGCGAAAGAATGAATAGGGAGATTGAAAATGACTATCCTGGATCGGGTGCCAATAATCGTCACACACCAAAACCGCCTGGAAGAAAAATGAAGTGATTTCTATTAGAAAACGTCGAAGGAGGAAATACTGTATTATCTAACATAACGTGCTACAAATTTGCAAAATAGCAAAGTAGTTAGTTCTAGTGAAAGTTGAACTGAATGTCAGATTATGATGTAGTGATGCAACTATTTATGCTTCTGTCTGAAATCCGAATGTTTTTAAAATTTCAAGCTTAAGTATGACTTTTCAGTATGAATATCCAATATTGTGGACTTTCTTCTTCAGCCACACCTAATCACTGCAGACAAAGTTTTTTTTTTTTTTTGGTAAAGCATGTACGTTGAGTTGTTAAGGTTTGGCTCCTAAGTTTGGCATTTTTTATCATAACGATAATGTCGATGATGTTGCCATTGTCGATTTCAACTATGTTCACATAGGATGCAACGAAACTTTTCTCGCAATATGTAACTGAAAGCATATCATTTCAAGGTGGTAAATGTGTTATTGACTTCTTAAAGGAGATCAATGTATTGATTAATATGTCACTCGGTTATTCCATTAGCAATCCTATTTTGAATGCTCAGGCACGGCTTAGTTTTTTCATGTTTGAAAAAATTCATGGTCTAAAGTGTAACTCATTCCTAGAGAAAAGTGTTTCTTCGGTTCAAAACAGCGAACCAAACACGCCCTAACTCCAAAAACTACTGTGAGTCTGTAAAGAGCACATTTGTGGGCTGTTTGTTTTGCGGGAGAAAAAGGAAGAAGATTTCCATGACCTAACACACCCATCCTGGAAAATAAAGTGCCAAAATATTTTTCTTTTCTGGTGTTCGGTTCAATAAAAAATTTATAGAAAACGAGTGAAGAAACCAAGTGGCACGTCATGAAAACAGGAAAACCTCATTTCCGAGCTTTGAGCTCAGGATTGAGTTGGAAATCTATCGTTAAGCATTAAAATAATAGTGACGTTGGAGGTCGCATAAAAACAGGAAATCTCCATTTCCGAGCTTTGAGCTCAGGATTGAGTTGGAAATCTATCGTTAAGCATTAAAATAATAGTGACGTTGGAGGACGATGCGACAAGTGGTTTTAAAAGTTTGGATTTCCTTTTTTTTTGTTATCAACCAAATAATGGATTGAAATGAAACTAGGGGCAAAACAATGTTGCGCGCAGCGGAAATTTCGGCGGCACAACAAGAGAGTTAGGTCGCAATAGGAATTCCTGTTTCACCAAAGAAACAAGAACTTTAAGTAAAATATCTCAACCAAGTGAGATATCAGCTCTTCCTCTCATCAGTTCTAGGACTGACCTGTCGAGGGAACCTAAATAAGCTATTACAAATCACATAAATAGCGAGACAACCAATTTTACGTGGTTCGAAAAATTACCTACGTCCACGGGGCAAGGAGGGGGGGAGATCTACTATTAGAGGGAGAAAAAACAACTAGAGTTTACAATCACACAACTTAAACCCTCAAACAAACTCTCAAATCCCTCACAATCTCTCTTTACAAAAGGACAGCTGCCAAAACACGCCCTTGCATGAAAAAGCCGATTTTTCTCTACCTGCGGTTTTCTCCTGCAGCCGCACACCACAAAAAACTTGCACGAAGCTCCTTTGCCAATTTGCCTCCTTGCGCACTAAACCCTAGAAGCCACTGCGTTATATCACTTTAGGATCGGTCCTTTGCCAATTTGCCTCCTTGCGCACTAAACCCTAGAAGCCACTGCGTTATATCACTTTAGGATCGGGTGGGCCAGAGTTCACGCGAAAACGAAACCGCGTTAACGCGAAAACGAAACCGCGTTCACGCGCTTGCCTCCGGTTGCAATCGCGTGGGACATGCTCACGTGGGTGGCCCCCACGTCTTCACAATTCTCCACCTCGGTGAAGTTTTCCCAAAACTGAGCCGACACCAAAGCAAATAAATGTCCCACTTGTTGTGTCCAATACGTCGTGAAACAATTTGTTAGACCCTAAAGGGGGGGGGGGATGATTAGGGTCTTATGCTAATCTAATCTGATTTTATACCAATTAAAATCTAATTAACAAATTATTCTTGCAAGAGAGATATACAATATGTTACAAGCAAGAATAAGCAATATGAACAAAGGTAAATATCCTAGCAATGAGATATACTATAAGATATATGCAAGGATATATAATTAATACAAGGGTAAATAATCTAAACTAGATAGTGGGCAATATAATCAACAAGCAATAAACAAAGACGATATAAGATATGAACATAAAAATAAGTGCGTCAATGCAATCACAAACAAATGATATGATTACGGTGTTCGGTCCCCACGACCTACGTCTCCGCTCCTCACCTCGAGGAGATCTCCACTATCACAACCGGGTTTTCTACGTTTACCCGAACAATGTTTACACCTCACAATACGGTTTTCTAGTTTACCGAAAACTCTACAACTCACACACTCTTGTAATCCCACTCTACACCCTCTCAAGTATTGAACTAGACGTGTCTCCCTCAAGTGCTCGGATACAACCTCTCCCTAGGTTCGTCAACCGACGCCATTCCTCTTGGGACGATCCCCGACTCTCGCCACACACTTCTCTCGGTGTACAAGTGTATTACAAAGTGATCTCACAAGATAGGCTCAATACAAAGTGTTTATTCTCTACAATGGATGAGAACGAATTATAAGCTCACTCTCTAAGTTACACAAATTCACAACTCAATTATACTATGAATATAAATACAATAAGCTCAATGGTTGTGTGTGTGTAAGCAAAGAGAAACAAATCAAAACTAAACTCAATATAATTCTAGCATATAGAAATTATGAATAAAACAGTAAATAGCTAGAAATAGAGTTTAGGAAATCTTCTCTAAAAAAACAAGATGGAGAGGAGGATTAAAATGAAGCTCAAACAATGTAGATGATCTTCTCCACTTGTAAAACAATCTTCATAAACCAAACAAATTTTAAACCCAACTAAAACCCTTGTTAAAACTCTTTTTTAACTTCTTTAAAACTTTCCATTGGGTTTCTGAGATAGAAGGGGTTTGGGGGTTTATATAGGAAGAGAAAACAACAACAAAACCCCCCAAAGAAAAAGACCAAAAAGCCAACAGAATCGAAAATTAGATTCTATACAAAATAACCGTTGGAGTGAACGGCGGTCGACCGTGAAAATCTCGCGGTCGACCCTGAGAATTTTCCAGAGACTTTGGCGGTCGACCGTGGGAAAATTCGAGCTGACGATCGACCGTGGCGGTCGATCACGAAAGTTTCTGTTTGACTCTGCAGGTAAAAACTTAGGTGCGGTCGACCGTGGCGGTCAACCGCAAACTGATACATGAACAGAACAGTTTGAAAGTTGATTTTTTGATTTTAAAACCCTATTTAAAAATATCAAATAAATTCAGAAAAATATAAAACTTTAGGAAATGATTGTAGACATGATAATACACATGCTATAAAAATTAGTTTTCAAAAAGGACTTCCCAAATGTAAAATATTATTATTTTGCAAGGAGGTCCAAAACATAGAAATGTAAACATATGAATTTTGATATTTTGCCTAAACCATATTTTGAAACTTTACAAAATGATTTTATAAATTTGAAGAAAGATGTAAACTATTGTTATGAAGTCTATAAACAATGAATGTAGTATTTTATCAAAATACACATATAATGCACTAAAACATGATTTCATTAAACTAAATAAAATTGATATTGATGAAATCATATATATGCATATAAGTATGAAACAAAAATATGTTTTCTAATTATATTAAATTGTTTCATATTAAAACTTGAAAACTATCAAACCAAAACATATATGTATATATATAACTATATATACAAAACCAAAATGTGTATGTGTGTATATGATTGAGCTTAAAGTACTAACACACATAATATAAACTCCTAAACTAAATTACCCAAGCTTGATGAAGGTCTTCAATGAGCTCAACTTGGTACACTTGCGGATGAAGCTTGAACTTGGATCTTCAACTTGAATTTGCATAGCTTCAACCACTATTCCACCAACCTCCATTTGATATGATCATTATGGCGCAATCCATCCATCCTCTAACTTGTTGTTTGCCTAGAATAAATACGAAAAACATAAATACTAGACAAACAACATTAGTCATAAATTATTTGTTAAACATCATCAAAACAAGAAGGCCAACACAATTCACGAAAACGGACTCAATCCACAACAAATCGAGAACCCGAACGAGAATCCAAACAATTTCACCCCCATCAAAACTAACTAATCCAAAATGGTTGCATCGAAAAGACTACCTACGTATCCTCTTGTCCAAAGAATCAAGCCTCACATAGTTCACCCAAATGGCCGCCAACAACCTCAACAATCACGAATATGCAACAACTTTCGACAATGATCAAACTTGTTGCTCGGAACCACCTTTGTGAGCATATCCGCTTGATTATCCTTTGTGTGGACTTTCATAATCTCCACATCACCATCTTCAAGAACATCTCGAACGAAGTGATAACGAACATTAATATGCTTCGTCCTGACTGTTTGGTGGAAAATTTGTAATAAGAAAAATAATGAAAGAATCGTATTTGATTTATTCTCTCTAACTGCTTAGAAAAAGAATGATTACAACCCTCTCAATCTCGATTACAATTGGATTTCCTGATTACAAAAGAGAGGAGAATGATCTGGATTCTTCCCTTTGTTTAATTATGGGTTCTTCACAGTGGCGATGGAGTGCCTCCCTCGAATGCTCGCGTCGACTTTGCTCTCCGTTGACGATCCGAATGTCTTGATTCATCGGAACATGGTCTTCTCCTCACGATTTGACGTTATGGAGAACTTACGTGGCAAGTTTTTGAACTCTGAACGAGTTTAAAACTCTATAAAAGAGTTGATTTAACCAAAATCGGTTAATAAACCAAGGATGAAGAAAGCTCCTGTTGCCGATCTCCAAAGCTCCAGCCGAAGGATGAAGGATCTTCTTTGCTGCCAAGTCTCAGATCCAAAATGTTAGCCCAAACCGAGAGCCAAATCCCCTCTGCTCGAACCCCTGAACTGAATTAATTTTCAGTTATTTATAGAGGATTAAGGGGTGTAACTACCCCTTAAATTACTCCTAAGTGGGGTGTAACCGCCCCAAATCGTGGGAAACGGTTTTAGAACTGTTCAAGGGTTTAAGGGGTGTAACCCCCCCTAAAATCTTTCTATAATGGGATATAACCGACCCTATTAAGTGGAGATATGGTTTTTTTAAAACCGTTCAGGTTCTGTTAGAACCAGTCAAACGCAAAAAACGC